AGAAGCCTAGCTCAAACAACACAATGCATGAGTAAAAGATATTATTTGTCTTTCATACATTTGCTTGACTCGTGAATTATGAAGAGAATTCCCAAGATTCTTATTAGCCTAATGATCAAATGATTTTCGCTTTGTCCAGAAGGTTTAAAAGCAGGGATGTGGATCACAGAAGACATAAAGGCAAATTCAGACAGCATTCTTCTCAGGGCAGAGTCCTTAGACATCTTTCTCCTGGTTGAAATAACCAGAAAGGATGTTAATTTACAATATATTCAGTACAGAAAAGCTATTGGATCCCCTCTTACATGCTTCTGCCTTTATGATCTGCAAGCTACGCTCAAGTTTAAAGAACCACTTTCTATTTCCTTTAAGTTAATTCTCAATGTTCTATTCCAATGTGTCTAGCACTATGCTAGGCTGTGGGGTTACAGGAAGGACCTAGACAGAACTAGGGAGAGCTAAATCTAAACAGGAAGAAAATAAAATCCCTAACAGTGAAAATTACTGACTAGGAGAACCAGGTATGATGAACATGCCTGTAATTCCAGCACTGAACTGGCAGAGGAAGGAGTCAGTAGTTCAAAGTGATCCTCATCGCACAGTAAGTTCAAGGCTAGTCTAGATGACATGAGATCCCATCTCATACTCCACCCTAGAAGATTTTATGGTATCTACACTTTAATCCAATGTGTTGGCAATACAGTTTTATGATTATTATATATCTAGGGCACATAAAATATGCTAATGTTTCTGTCCTTCTTGAGACATATATTAAATTTCATAGGAAAACCATTTTGACAGCTAATTAGATACTTTCCCTAAAAACATACACAGAGAAAACAGAATAGTATAACAAATGCCAGTATACTCATCCCCTAGATTTAAACATCATTAATGTGTCTTTATTCTGGTTCTATCTAAACATGATTATTAAAACTCCATCCTGCATTCCCGCCTCCAAACACTGCTACATTCTCATACTTCAGCACTATACAAACATGCTTTCTCGAATCTTAGTCAGTATTCTGTGCTGCCTTCTAACCAAAGCTTAATATTTTCCCAACTCAATTTAATAATGCAGATTGTAATTTAAGAGGTCAAGAAAAATAAATGACAGCTCCAGAATTCCCTGGTGCCATTTGATAAAAACACTGACTCTTACACTTCCACGGTGCATGATACATGCACTGGTATTATTAGACTAATAACACATCCAGTATTTTTTTTTAAGTCTGTGTGGGAGGAGATAAGGAAAGTCAAAGTGAACTGACTGCACCTGTTATCTGGGCATTTGGCATTCCCAGCAACTGCCATGCCCAGGAAGCCAATCAACAGATGACAGGGAGAATGCAAATTGCATTATCATCTTCAATGTGCTAATATACACGGGTGCTGGCAATCCAACCGGAAGGGGGTGAGCTTATTAAATGTGGCATGCTGCAATTTACATATCTCACCCCCCAGATGTGAGGAGTGTGTGTGAATGAGAATGGAGAGTGAGCAGATCAGCGGGGGATACAGAGGCAGAATAGCGTTCAACTCTTGGACTATCAATTTTGGCCAACTGAAGAACCAGTGACAGCCAGTGAAATGACCGACTTTTCCCTAAAACATGTCTGGCTTTGCTGCTCCTCTGCCACCTTCTGGAACAGCATGGAAGACAGCGTGCCTGAGCTTAGCAGGTCATTCTGTGCACAGACCCTGTCAGCTTCCCGACAGTGAGGGTGAGTGAGACACTGAATATTGGATACTGCCCACAGCAGCAGGAGAAACTGACTCCATCTTTAGAAAGAGGAGCCCTGTAAACTGGAATATCACCTACAAGGCCTCATGCTTGCTGGGTAAGTAAGTCCTCAATCACTGACCTGTATCCTCAGGCCTTTTTCTTTTTCTTCTCTATTTTAATCAAGAGTTAGGGTCCCAGGAAGTTACCCAGGCTGGACTTGAACTCACTCTATCGCTCAAGAAGACCTTGATCTTGAGATCTGTCTGCTTCATCCTTTTGGATGGTTAGGATAGGGAGCCTAGGCCACCAGGGATTGATTCAACAATCCATGGCAAAAAGCCTCACATATGGATTTATCTTCTCACTTATTTCAATGGTCATCAAACAGGACAGAAGTGCCACAAACACAACTCAAGAAATACACAACAGTATGACCAGTGACAAGGCAGGAAACAGTCACACGAGACTGACTCCCTACCCTTCAGAAAAGTAGTCACAGCCACATTGGTAGTGAGACCACTGGTAAGGACATTAACAGCAGTGAGCAGGTGGTAAGTATTAGTGGCAGAGAAGAGGCTCAGAGCTATCCTGTCTGGCTCATCTATTGATTTCCTGTGGTGATATTCTAATTGTACTGAAATGTGATTTTGATTGTATGTTAATAAATAAAGTTGCCCGGGGGTCAGAGCTATTAGAGCCATAGAAAGAGTGTGGCGGTGGTGGCACACGCCTTTAATCCCATAGATCTCTGTGTGTTCAGGGATACAGCCAGCATTGGAGACATATGCCTTTAAGACCTGGGGGGCTGTACATTCAGACAGTGACGAGGCAGTCACATGTTTGGGTTTACAACCAATGACAAGGCAGAACAAAATACTATAAAAAGACAGACAGACAGGATATAGCTCTCTTTCGGGAAGCTGGGACACCGCAGGAGGAAGGGTGAGATTTTAGCTCTGAGCTCTGACCTCTCGGCTTTCTCTTTTACATTGGTTCTGTGTTTCTTATTTAATAAGACTGTTGGTTACATCTACAATTTCCACTATAATGGCACCATACAGATAAGCATGCCCACTATTAACATTATCCACATCACACCTCTTTTTATTCTAGGGCTTTGTTTTTGAGAATTTCATATTTGTAGACAATGAAATATGATCATATGTACCCTTTATTTCCCCATCCAAGTCTTCACATGTCTCTTCCAATATGCTCCCTCCCAACTTCTTATCTTTCTTTTTTTCCCAATAACTCATTAAGTCCAGTTGGTGCTGCCCATATGTGCATGGGCGTGGGGCTAGCCTCTGGAGCATGGGAAGCTTATCAGTAGCGCATCCTCGAGAAAGGGTGATTGTTCCTCTCCCAGCAACTGTCCACTGCCGGTGGCTCCTCAGAAAGGGGTGGTGCTGGGAACTCATCTCCCCCAACTCTGCTAACCACCAAGCCTTCTGCTTATGCCCCTTCAAGTACTGTTTTCCCGCCTAGCTCCTTCACAGTGTGGTGAAGTCCCTTCTGCCCCCTCGTGAGTCCTCAGCTGGGCTCCTGAAGGAGAAAACCTAACCAACAATTCTGCCTGGGGAGGGAGCTTCCACCCCGACCCTTGCACCCCAGCTCTTTCCCTCCAAGCAAGAACTGGGGTTCCTATGGTCTAGGAAAGCCTGCGGGTGGTGCTGAGGGAAACCAGCCTTAACTTTTGGTGTGCTTTGTGGCTGTTCCTCTGCAGCAGGGGTCGGCTGACCAGGCAGGCTAGTTTTTCCTTTCCTGCTGTGGTTGAGTGAGACTTTAGGGCAAGTCAGTCCTTCTGGAGGACCAGTTATTGATTAGACAGTGGTGGTCAGGAGCCTCCACCTCAGCCTTGAGTCCTGGCTATGATTCTGCTCTGATGGAGGTGGAGTGTGATCATTATTTGAATTTAGGTCTCTTTCCCAAGTAAGTTAGAATCCTGGGAGGGAAAATATACAACCCACTAGGGTCCTCAACATCTAAAGCCACAGTCTTTACCTTTTCTCTCGGCTCACGGCATCCAGACTATCCCTTTTCTTTATTGGCGACCTTCTGGATACAGTATAAACCTGCTGGGTCCAGGCTAGTAGGGAGTGTTCGGCAGGATCAGGCTTCTTCACAGACTAGCGACTTAGGGCTCATGGACACCCTCGTCACCTGACAGTTCTTTGCTCATTGCTAGCAGCATGGCACCCCTCCCTCCTGTCTCCCTTCCTTTCTCTCCTCACGACCACCACATCAAATAACAATAACAACGATGTCTACAGCCCAACCAACGCAAACTCTGCTGCTCAGTTCTGCTCACGGCTTGTCCTCCGGGTTCCTGGGTGGGAGGTTGGTTTTCAGCAAGATGGTTTGGGGAGGTGGTATCCCTTCGAGAGGTGGAGACTGGGGGAGGTCATTGCTGGTCCTTTGGCAAGTTCCCATCACATCTCCCCTTTGCAGATGATGCCACCAACCATGAGGTGACTTGTGGTGATATTATGTTCCCCAAAATATCATGCACCCTAATAAACTTATCTGGTGTCAGAGAACAGAACAGCCACTAGATATAGAGGCCATAAAATGGTGGCACACACACCTTTAATCCTATCACTTGGGAGGCAGAGATCCATCCGGATCTCTGTGAGTTTAAAGTCACACTGGAAACAGCCAGGCATGGTGACTCACACCTTTAATCCCAGAAAGCAGAAAGGTATATAAGGTGTGAGGACCAGGAACTAGAACCTGGTTAAGCTTTTAGGCTTTTGAGTAGCAGTTCAGCCGAGATCTATGAGGCTTCCAGTCTGAGGAAACAGGATCAGCTGAGGAATCAGCAAGGTGAGGTAGCTGTGGCTTGTTCTGCTTCTCTGATCTTCCAGCGTTCACCCCAATACCTGGCCCAGGTTTGTTTTTATTAATAAGACCTCTTAAGATCCATGCTACAGTGACTCCGCTAAGGTAGTGGATGGAGTTTGCTGCAGTTAGAGCTGTGCTGATTCAAGTGTCAGCCTCTAAGACAGGGAGCTAGATAAGTCTCGTCCACATGCATGCCCACCCTCAGGTATTCCATTCCATCACAATAATAAAACTACCGACAAAAACCCAGACTAATACAACTGCCATCAACAACAAAATACCATCACCAGTTCTACTGCCACTATCAAGACCACCAACATGACCCTCAGCACAGGCCACTGCTAATACCACCAACACTACCGTGAACACCAGCAGCCCCGTGAGTGTCTAGAGTGGAATGGCACGGTGCTAGAGACACCAGCAGTGTTATTACCTTGTTCTCCTCTGGAGTGAAGAGGATTCGGAATATAGACGGCACTCCCGGGGCGACCTTGTGGCCGATGTCTTTGGGGCTGATGATTTTAAAGTAAGGTGAACTTTCTTCAACAACTTTTACCATCCTTGGGATCTGCAGGGGAAACACACGTTGGTGACACCATGTATGAGGGAGAGGCGGAAGAAGAGCGCAAGAAAAAGAGTGGAACACTGTCAGGCTTCAGCCACTCCTTGCTCTGTGTGGCCTGGATCAGGAGTTCACTTGCTTCAACTGAAAAGGGAACTGGTGGGGTCTACCTTTATCCTCAGGGCTCTGACAGTCTTTAAGACATACTGACTCTACTTTTACCAACATTATTATTATTACTAGTTTTTGTTAGTATGCCATGTCTTTGTTCGTGTTATAGCTGAAATGATTATCTTCTAAAATGAACTGTTCAATAAGCTAAGTTCTCTCTCAAACAGCAGAGTTGAAATGCGTGTCTCAACATTTGGAAAGTGTTTAGGGAAAAGATATCCCACAGTGCTCTTGGGACCATTCCCAGGCCACGATGCGCCACTCTATTCTCACAACGGCTATTGAGCTTTGCCATAATTCCCAGGCCACAGGGGAGGAAAGGGGGTCAGCCCCACCAAGCAATGGGTGTTGGGAGGCAGTCCCAGCCTAACTCCACCCGCTGTCTTCATGGGAACATCCCCAAGAAGTAAGAACAAAACATAGATGGATAACCCTTGGCTGATCTCAGGGCAGCTTCAAACTGTCTCTCGTTCTTTTAACGTTTTAGCCTCTGCTCCCTGGTCTTGCCCAGAGCTACGTAGCTCTATCCCAGGTTGTATAAACAAATGCAATCACGGGGCAAATGGGAGTGGTCAGAGGCGGAGGTTCTATACACACATAAAAACACCAGTGGAGAGTTCGTTTGGATTTTCTGGTTTCTGACACAAAGTCTTCCTATGTAACTCAGGATGGCCTCAAACTCTCAATCCTCCTGCCTCAGACTTGTGAGTACTGGGATGGCAGATGTGTGTCACTTTGCTTGACAAAGACTTTTTTTATGACTCAAAATAATAAAAGAAAGGTAAGTTAACTCGTTAAAGGATGACCTGAAGTCACAAGTGAAAAATAGAAAAGAACTCCCATGACTGTGAAATGTTTTATGGATAAAGAAACACAGAAAGGATGGAGAGAGATCTTAGGAGCAGAGAGTGGGGAGAGAAGAAACACCTGGCATTGGGCCAGGTGTAGTGCTGCGGGCCTATGCACAACACTCAGGAAGAGGTAGACAGATGCTCAAAGCTAGCTTGTCTATATAGTGAGACCCTGGGGAGACACACAGAGAGACAGACAGACAAAGAGACAGAGAGAGACAGACAAAGAGACAGAAACAGACAGACATACACAGAGATAAAGACAGACAGACAGACAAAGAGACAGAGACACAGACAGAGAGACAGAAATAGACAAACAGAAAGACCAGGCAGACAGACAGACAGACAGACAGACACATACACACATGCACAGGGCCACATTTCAGACAGGAAAAGAGCAGAACGTGCGTCGTGCTTCCTTTGTAAAGAGCATAACTTGGCCAGGGAGAAGCTAGCTCAGTGCTTACGAGTCCGTGCTCAGGTACCAGCACCCACTGACTGTGACTCCAGATTCAGGGCACTCGACCCCTCTGGTCGCCATGGGCACTTGTATGTCAGGAAGGAGAGGAGAGCTTATTCTGCCTCTCAGCACACAACCTGATGTGACTCACGTGAGAACACACCTGCCTATCCCGGAGAAAGCTATCTGCTTATCAATAATTGGACTTTCCTTGGTTGAGGACTTTCCAGGGGTCAATGCTTTGACTGAATCTCACCCAAGAGGTGTTGGGTTATCCATGAAAACTGTGCCCTTTGGAAGATGAAATTTATACATTCCCTCACCCCGACTTCTTCATACATACCTACTGATAATCACTTCTTGTGTAGGGTCAGGAGGAATTGCTAAGGATCCAGACACTAGGCCTACTCCATCCTTACTAGCCTAATAATACCTGACAAGTGTAAAACAGTTATAGGAGGAGAAAAGAGAATTCTAGATGAGAAAATGAACCTGTTGGCAGCCCCACGTCACAGAGTGCAGCTCTTCTTGAGGCCTGGGGACGTGACCCTGGGCACCTTCAGCTCTCTCTCATCGCTCTGCTTACCCTCAGCTTCTGCTGTGAGCTTCTCTTGCTAACAGCACTGCAGCCAGAAACCAGCAAACAAAGCCAAACTCGAAATGTGCCATTGTCCCCAGAGTCTGGCTTTGCGGGCACGAAGTCACCCATTGATCTCTGAAAGGCGTCGCTGAGTCCTTTAATAAGCTCCTGTGTGAACACAGCTCCAGGTCTCCCACTTGCTTTGGGCCCCTGCACAGACTTATTTCCTCATTTTTCTTGTAGCTCACCTCTTCTCCTGGACTCCTGTTTGCCTTTTCCTTGGAGTTCAGTATTGCTGAGGTACTCCCCCTTCACACACCATCTGTTTATTTTTTCACTTAACTGTGCTTAAAGCTCCCATAGAACCTTCCTTCTATTATTGTCAAGTGTCAAGGAAATCCTCTGGTATTGAATTCTTTTCTTTGAAACAAGCCCTAGTTTATCTCTAAAGAAAAAGACGTAAGGCTGGGGAAGAAATCCTCCACTGCAATTACAAAGGAGCATGCCATAGATATGGAGAAAAGCCTTCTGTAGACAATGTCTGAAGGCTATTTCATACAACAGGGAGAAGACCACAAAAAGGGGAGAGCTATATCACAAGCTATAGAAGAGAAGTTATTTAGAAGAATAATTTGCAGAATATAAGGATAAATGCTCATGTTTGCTATTCACTGGAGCAGATGATACCTTGAACTGGGATAATGGTGTCTGCAATGCAGAGTATATCCACATTAATAGTAACTGTTCAGTCTGAATGAAAACCTAGCCCAGCTGGTCAAACGCAAGAACTCCATGTCATTCATCAAATCTACACTTATGCATCAAGAAGTTGGGGCATGTGGCTGCAGAGATGGCTCAGTAGTTAAGAGTACTGGCTGCTCTTCCAGAGGACCAGGGTGTGATTCAAAGTACCCACGTAGTGGCTCACGACCATCTGTAACTCCAGTTCCAGGGAATCTGACACCCTTTTCAGGGCCTCTGTTGGCATTGCACACCTGTGGTGTATATGCATGTATTCAGTCAAAATACCCCCAGAGATAAAATTAAAAATGAACACATCTTTAAAAGGGGAAGCTGGAACACATGTTGGGAGTTGGCCATCTGCTGGGCACTGCACTGGACTATACAGACAGCAACAATCAGACCTAGCCTTGTGTTCATGAAACTTGCACTCAAAGAGCATGCTTGCATGTTATTTCCTATCAAATTAAAGAGCGTATCTGAGACCCTTGGAATTGCAGAATTTACCGGACCCTCCTCCAGCATCTTGCAAAAGTTCACCTACACCAGCGCACATACTCACTTTGTCATTGTTTCTCAACACCAACGGGACTTCATAGACTTCACAGGGAGAATAGTTCTGGAATATGATTTCTGATGGAAACGGCTGGAATAAGGCCTGATCCAAGTCAACTCCAGAATACTGCAATTGAAAGATAAAATTACTCATTCTGTGAACAATGGCCAAGATGACTAGGGTAAATAGTGCAAAGATCTAATTATTTAAAATAAAGAACATAGGAGTCACTCAGAAGGGAAAACCACCATAACAATAGTTAAAATGAGTGAGATTGTTTTCATTAACTTCATCACAAAAGAAGATAGAAAATTTGGGAGTCAAGATAGAAAATTTGGGAGCTCAGTCAAGGACAGCGATTCCAGCACAAGCATGAAGACATGAGTTCTGATCTCCAGGACATACATAAGAAGGCAAGCATGATAGTGCATGCCTGTGATCCCAAGACTGGGAAGGTAAAGGCAGGTGGGTCTCTGGGGCATCCTGGCCATCCAGCATTGCCTAATCGGCTAATTCAGATCCCGATAAGAGAACCTCAAAAAATAAGGTGGATGGCTCTTCAGGAGCAACACCCAGGGCTGAACTTGGGCCTATACTCTTTATTGTGCATTCAGGCGTGCACACACACACACACACACACACACACACACACACACACACACAGAGTAAAAGACCACTTGGTCCTCGGTTAAACAGAAAATAAGCTAATAAAAACCACTAACTCAGATTTTGTGATCCAAATGTGGGGTCGTTTGACCCAGCTGGCCTGCGAGAGTAACTCCAGAGCTCTATCAACAACTATCTGCTCTGCCACACTGCTAACAAGATCACAAGGAATTGCTGGCCGGGCCGCAGGAGAAAGCGGATGAGCGGTCATGGAGAGCACTGGGGATAGAGACAACTGGGTTACATTTGCCTCTATGCATTAGACTGGGGGCTGAGATATGTACACAACTCTTGAACCTGTAGCAAGGCTAAGAGTCAGAGACTGGTGTTCCAAAGCTCTTCTAGGAAGGGTAGGACTCTGATGGGCTTTACTCTCACTGACCTGTGGCTGGATGTGCCACAGAATAAGGATGAACTAGGGTCCCTTGAGTGCTTCAGTACTCAGGGAAGTCTGGCACCAGCAACCCGGTCCCCTCTGAAGGAAGAGAGCATCAGCACAGGATTTGGATAATTTATGCAATCTTCCAGTTGTGAAATTTTATAGCTTACAGCCAAGAATGCTTTTCAAGATGAAAAAAAAAAAAAAAAAAAAACCCCTGCAGATTGTAATTATATAAGCCGGCCATAAATATGAGGAAACAGTATGTCAGCACAAAAAGCCAGCACAAACAAGAGGTGACAGAAACAGCAGTATGATCCACTCTCTGAAGCACAAGGCTCAAAATTTGGCAGAGGTAGAAATGGTAAGAAAGTAAATGCAAATTCCACGCCACACACAATAATGGGAATCAGGGATTCAGGGTGTGTGTGTGTCTAATAGCAGATTAGCCACAACTGGAGTGTTCCTGGTATGGAGGTTAGGTTAGAAGAACATTCAGACCAAGAAGACAGACTGAGATGACAGAAAATTCAGGAGAAATAAAATGAGCAGGTGATACATGAAAAGGCCTGGAATATGTGCATTTGGAGGCTCAGAATGAACCGGTGGGGAAGAGGTATTATCGCTAGAACAATGCCAGAGAAGTTTCCATGGCTGATGACAGAGTCAATACAAACATGCAGGAGACCTTATGAACTCCAGCAGGATTAAAAAAAAAAATGCATGCCTAGGTAGATAATTATAAAACCATTAGAAACAGAGGCAAAAATGTGCAAGAGATGCTAACAGGAAAAAGAGAGTATATTTCATAGCCAAAGTGTTGGCTGCTCAACATAATTAAAAGGGCAAAAGGTGTGAAAATAATGTCCAAACCAAAAAACCGAACAAACAAAACCTTCTGCAGAAATAATATTCTCTACCCTAAAAAAACTCCCTTCAACAAAGAAGTTCAAACGGAAACATTTTTAGGAAGATTAAAAATTACAATTTTAACAATGTCCAAGGGAAAACACTGAAGGGTATTCTCATAGAGGGAGAAGTTTATCTTAGATCTTCAGATACAGGGGAGGAGAGAGGAATGATAAAAGGGTAACTATCTGGTAGATCTAAATGAACTTGGGCCATACAGACAACACTACTAAGAACTTGCTCATCCATGGGCTGTGTGCACCCGCTGGACCCCTCACAGCAGACCCGGATGGGCACGGCCCTATGGCCTCCTGTACTGCTATGAGTTTCCCTGAATACTTGCTTTTTTATCAGAGTAATGACCAATGTCATGACATGAGGGAAATCAGTCAGAAATGAAAGGGCACTTCTTGTCATATTCCACTTGCATAAGGAAAAGTTAATCTGCAATGTGAAGGGTAGGTTAGTAATCTTTTGGAGGAAGAGGGAGAGGTAATGACTAGGAAATGGATGTAAGTAACCTTTCAGGGAGCCAGTGAACATGCTTATACTCATAATATATACAAATACACAGATGCAACACACAAGTTTTTATTTTAAAAAAGAAAGCTGCTATCCTCCCTCCAAAAAATATGCACAAGCTTACACAGCCTTCATAACACTTCACTGAGAATTACTGAGAACCTTACTGATCAAGACATCACTCAGTGTTAACAGACAGGCCAAGCAGATTCCCTTCCTTCAAAGATGGGTAGCAGAAACAATCATAATGATAAACTGAGCCAACACATATACACATAGACGTGTGTGTGTGTGTGTGTGTGTGTGTGTGATATATATATACATATATACGTAAAATACTTGAGAAAGAAGTAGAAAAGGATACAAATGAAGAATTTTTAATTTCGTGTGTATATTGGGGTATATGTATTTGTAGACACGTGTGTGTATGTATGTGTGAAGGCCAGAGGTCAACGTTGAGTGTCTTCCTCTATCACTCTCTGGGGTCTCTTACCGGCCAGGGAGCTCTCTCTGTTCATCCACTTGTCTCGCCTCCTCAGCTCGGGGTCATGGATGCATGCCGCTGTACCTAGCACGGTTCTACACAAGTACCAGGAGTCTGACTTCAGGTCTTCATGCTTCTTCCATGGCAAGCACTTTACCCACTGCCCCATCTCCTCAGCTCTCGAGTAAAGAATGTGTATCAGACTGTATTGCCAATAAGCAATGGAGATTCAATGCTTGTTTGTTTTTGTGGTGCTGGGGACTGACTGTAAGTCCAGAGCAGGCTAGGCTAGTGCTCTGCTATTGGGCTACATCCTCAGCCACACAAAGCAATGACAATCTTAACCACACCATTTCACCATACTTTGAAACATATAATGGAGAAATAATAAAAAAGCATGAAACAAATATTCAAGGATACAGAGAAGACAAAATTTGCCTTCCAATAAACACCAAGTTTCCAATACATGCCAAGCTCCTCCCCACATGCTGAACACATACTAGTGAAGAGAGCCACCAGCAGCCCTGTCCTTGCAAGGCTGGTGAGTCCCTTCCCAGGCTTTACAATTGCTCTTCCTTCCAGTTGGAATGTCCCTTTGCAAACCTTTGTCGGACTTGCTTCAGACATCTGTCTAGCTCAGAAAGGCTGTCCTACTGCACTCTTCAGCAGGGCAGCCATCACCCCATTCTCTCATGAGAGGTAGTTCTGCATGTGAACAGGGGTAAGAAGGAAGGGCAGCAGGAGTCAATGTGCCACACAGAGGAAGGAAAAGAGGTCATGAGGGAGGCAGGGAGGCTGATGCTGAGCCTTAGGACCCAGGGTCAAGTTTAGATTGTGTGGGAGTAATAGAAGTCACTGGGAAATTTAAATGTGGGAGTCACATGAGCTCATTTACATTTTAATTACGTGTGTGTGTGTGTGTGTGTGTGTGTGTGTGTGTGTGTGTGTGTGCAAACAAATGCTTACTGTGACGTGTATATGGAGGCCAGAGGACAACTTGTGGGAGTTGGTTCTCTCTTTCTACCAGGTAGTAACTGAGAATTGAACCCAGCTCATCATGCTTGATGGTAAGCTTTTTACCCATTCATCCATCTTGCCAAGACCTCCTTTACGTTTTTATCATCATTCATGTTGCACTGTGGATTACTGGCAATGGAGAGGCAAGATAGAAATAGGCTAGAGGGCTGGAGAGGTGGCTGACTCAGTAGGTCAAATGCTTGCTGCACACCGGCAGACATGGTAGCCACCTGCAACCCCAGCACTCAGAATGCAGAGATGAGGGACCCCAGGAGCAGGCTGGCTAGCTAGACTAACTACACCTGTGAACTCTGGGTTCAAGTAAGAGACCATGCCTCAATAAATAAGGTGGAGTATGCAAGACCTCATGTCAATCTCTACATGCATGCACACACACATGTGCACACTCCCCTCCACACACACATGCAAGCACAAACATGCACGTGCACATCACACATACACATGCCAAAGAAAGAAAGGAGGGAGGGAGGGAGGAAGGAAGGAAGGAAGGAAGGAAGCAAGCAAGCAAGCAAGCAAGCAAGCAAGCTGTTTCCGTGGTTGCTATTTGGATAGTCTACATGCTAGCAACTGGACCAATGGTTGAGGAAATGGTAAAAAATGGTTTGACTGAGATATATTTGTGAAAGTCAGGGAGTTTACAGCACTTTCTGAAAAAATTTGAGAGAGAGAGAGAGAGAGAGAGAGAGAGAGAGAGAGAGAGAGAGAGAGAGAGAGAGAGAGAGAGATTAGAGAGAACTCTGAAGAGCAGCCTGGAAAACAAGATACATGGAATTACTGTCTGCAGGAGGCAGGGGTGGAAGAAACACAGACTTTGAGAGACAGACCACAAATCTGCACGTTGAGCTCCGGCATATCAAGTTTGAGCTGCCAACTGTCCACGGAGCTGAATATTTGATAGTTCAGGGGACTAACATGCAGCTTGAGATATAAATGAGAAGGTCGGCATCAAACACACGGGCTGGGGATGCAGCTCAGTGGAAAAGCAGTTGCCTAACAGACGTGAGGCATCCCAGCGCCTCCAACATCAAATACATAAATAGCAAAAGAGATAAGAGGATCCAAGATGCCATTCTCCTTGACAAGGTCACCTAAGACACAGCTTCTTTCTGTGGACCATGACCTCATATGGGGTCACATAACTGACTATAAGAGGTCATGAAAAACTTGTGAACAGGAAAAGTTTTCTGAATGTATGACCCCAAATTAGTTCAGAATCAAATGCATAATGGACCTTAGTTGTCTCTGGCGGCAACGGCCTGTGCCGCACCTCATGGTTTTACTGCAGCCTCAGCTCTAAACACCATGCATACTAATGAGATGGATGTGCACACGTCACACTGTGGCTGCTGCTACACTGTGCCATGCCAGTGCAGGCTGCCTGAAACCCTGCAGCTCAAATTCAAGACCATTCTATGCTATGAACTGCAGTGCTTTTACTGGGAAGATCACACTTTCTGTCCTTATAGAAATGGTTACTTACAGAAAAGAAAGACCTTTAATATCTTCCTGCAATCACTCCTCAACATGGAAATGTCAAATTAGTGCACGTCTGAACTGGACTGCATGATTTTAAAATCCATTGTTTCCATTGCTGATTTGAGTTCCATTTTTTAAAAAAAAATAATTAAATGAATTGTGGCTTGGAATTCAGAAGGAATTTCTAACCATTTCTGAATGGCCCTAAACAGACTTCTACCATCTGCGCTTCATATTTATGAAAAGCAGCATTCTCAGCGCTGAGGGTCGTGACACTAAAATATCAATCAACTCTGAAAAATGTTGATGATCCTCTCCACCATCTACAGTGTATTTAACCAAGATTAAATCCTGGTGAAAAATAAACAAGCACATCCATCTCATTAGCATGTGAATAGCTTTCATATTTTAAAAAATAATTAAAATTGGGGGCCAGCAGGATGGCTTCGTGGGTAAAGGCACTTGTTGTCAAGTCTGAGGACCTAGGTTTGATTTCTGGGGCCCACATGATGGAAGGAGAGAACTGACTCCACCAGCTGTCCTCTGATTTCCGCACACATGCCAAAGTATTAGGCATGCACGTGTGCACACACCATATGTAAATAAAGTACAATAAAAATCAAAGTAAATGATAAGACAGCAAAGAGTTGCTTCAAACTCCATTCTTCATAATTTATTATCAGATGTTTGGGGTTTTTTTTTTCAGATGTTTGTTTTGTATACTTACCTTTTCTGAAAGTTTTTGATTTTTAAATATTTTTAGTATGTGCAAATGGTATGTGTGTGTGTGTGTGTGTGTGTGTGTGTGTGTGTGTGTGTGTGTGTGTTCAATGCATGCTCGAGTGTTCCATGGTACACATGTAGAAGTCAGAAGAAATTCTGGGATGTCAGGTCTTGTCTCCACCTTGTTTCAGATAGAGAGGTTCTTGTTTGCTGATGCACACACCAGGCTACCTGACCCACAGGCTCTTGGGATCTTCCCGTCTCTGCTCCTGTCTCGCAGGGGGAATGCTGGGAAGAAAGACATATGCTACCATGCCTGCCTTTACATGGGTTCTGGGGATTAGAACTCAGGGCCTCATGTCTGCTCAGCAAGTACGTTACCCACTGAGCCATGTCCCCAGGCCTGTTTTACACATCTATCTTCTATGCCTATATTACGATTGTCACTTAACATTTTCTCAGACAGAGGGGTCATATGTCAAAAACAATGTTTAGGAGGCCCTGATCTAGGAATGAATTTAGGAGAGAACAGAGAGTTTCGGGGAAAGAAGATTCCATAATGAAGTTGGGAAAGCACAGTTGGAGTGATCGCTCACACGCTGATGGATTACAAGATTCAGAAAAGAGACAGGGCTTCAGATGACCGGAGATGACCAGAGTCTGCTGGTAAGGAAGGGACACAGAAGACAGCCTGCTCAGTGTCATTTCAATAAAACAGATGAACACAAAGTGAAAAGTGGGTTAGAGAGGCGATGCCAGGAGCAGAGGAGCAGACAAGGAAGGCCCAACACATCCATAATTGATGCTCCTAAAGGGAAAAAAAACTCAGAAGAACATGAAAAATGGTGGAAATTTTAAGAAATAAACTGCCTGCAGATAAAGCAAGAACACAGTGACATGGGGAAAACTCAGTCGTGTCTAAGTAAAATATTAAGCACGAATGAAGAATTCACAATCAGAGTGTGCAGGCTGGAATGTTAATGTTGTCTGTGGGGGGAGGGGTGGGCTGGCTTCGCAACTTCTGTGAGCATCATTTGATGCCAGAAGATCATGAAGGAAAATATCCATGGAGTTGTTAAGGGGAAACCCCAACATAGAATCATATGGGAAAGAAGTCTGCAGTTAAAAAGACAATATACAAACATTATCAAAGACATAAAGCCAAGATCTGTAAGTTCATCTAGAGGGAATTAATGGAGCCCAGTGGTTCCCAGCGGGAGAGAAACTGTTCAAATCCAGAGCACAAATACACACAACCATGTGGTCCTCCTTCAGAGCAGTGCTCAGGGCATAACACTAAACTATGACACGTTAAATGTGCCGGCCACACAGGCCTGCTCTGCCAGTGCCCCAGAAGAGAGGAAAAACCATGATGAGGGTGAGATAGCTCTGGGAAATGCTGTTCCCGCTCAAATGTGAAGGGTGTTTGCTGGGGAAAGAAGATGCCATCAGCATCATCAGATGCTATAAAGATAGCAATGCTAAACACAGCATGTTCCTGTGAATCCTAGGCAGCCAGAAGAAAGGCTTCAGAGATCCATTCTCATGTGGAATATAATTCAGATAACTTGGGAAGAGCTGGGAATCCCTTTGAGGGGGCCCGTCTGCAGTCATCCCATCAGTGGAGATTTGTATCATAATTTATACAGAAAAAGTGAGGTATATAATTTAAGAAATTAACTAAAAAGTAGGAAATAAGACATTTTGAAACATCCACTAATTTTAATTTTTTGTGTATGAGGGTTTTGACTGCATGTACTGTGTTTGCAAAGTGTCTACAGAGGCTGGAGGAGGGCACTGGAGCCCCGGAACTGTAGATGGATATTAGTCACCACCTGAGTGCCAGGAATTGAACCTGTTTCTGCAAAAGAAACAAGAACTCTTAACTGTTGGGCCATCTCTCTGGTCTTGAGTTCTTCTTTTTTTAATTATTTGCCCCTAAAGCCAAGAACACGTAGCCTACACTAGAATACAGAAACATGAAACATTGATATTTTTCAGGCTGAAAGTTTCTTAGAAACGGGCCAAAATGTGGTGGTATTTTCTTTGTGCACCCCAATGAAGTTTGTATGAGGATCAGAGGAAAAAGCCAGCCACTATAGTAAACATGAGGTCAGGCAGTGGTAGCACATGCCTTTAATCCTATCACTCGGGAGGCAGGGATCCGTCTGGATCTCTGTGAGTTCAAAGCCACACTGGGAACAGAGCCAGGCATGGTGGCACTTGCCTTTATCCCAGCACTAACTGTAGAGGTCTGGAGGTCTGGACAGACAGACAGGACAGGAAGTGATGTAGCTTGGCGGAAAGAGGAAATGAGATGGCAGAACAGAAAGGCATATAGGCGTGGGTATACAGGAAATAGGTCTCTTTGGAAACTGAGGTGTCGGTGAGGTGAGGTTGTCTGTGGCTTTTCCTGTTCCTCTGCTCTCTCAGGTTTTTACCCCAATATCTGGCTCTGGGGTTGTTGTTGTGTTTTTTTAATTAATAAGACTGTTTAGCAATTCGTGTTATGGAAAACCAGACAGCAAATGCCTGCTTTCCCTCCCTTCCTTCTTCACTCATAGGCAGTTCAGGAAGGACGGACAGCTTGTGACATGAAGGAGAAAACTTAATTGGGCTTGGCTGATATAATTCTTGGAATTACTCTTACCCCGTAAACAATTGTATCAAATACCAATCAGAAGTAACTAAATAGGCGTGGAATTAGTCAAAAGTGATTTTAAATAAGGTTTGCTTTTACTGACCATAGTAACTACTATACCAGGTCACAGAGATCAACAGACAGAAGTGACAGAGCTGTCCCCAGAAGGGACTGGCTAGCCTAGAAACACTGCTTTCTATTTAGCATCTCTTGTCACGAACATTTACATGGTTTATGCTCTGCCTGATGTGCTTTTGAAAGAGTGTATTCTGGTTTTTAATTATGTGCATGTGTTGGGGGGTTATGCACATGAGTACAATGCCTTTAGAGGCCAGAAGAGGGCATCAGATCTCCTGGAGCTGAAGGTACAGGCAGTGGGAGCTGTCTGACATGGGAACTGAACCTGGGTCCTCTGCAAGAGCCACAATCCCTCTGAACCACAGAGCCATCCCTCCAGCCGTTGCTGTACCTTTTGATGTGTTGTTTCTCCCATATCTAAGAGTTCGATGATCTGTGGCCGGCATATAATTCGAGTACTTGCCAGTTTCTGCTCTGTGGTGAGGGACATCTCCTTCAGGAACTCTGAGGGTGTCAGCTAGAATCCAACAAGAGCCCAGTTCAAACATGGTTAGTCTGAGGAAGTGTTCTCCTAAGCACCAGTAATGAATAATTTGTATGTGCAGCTTTCAGGATAATTGTGGAATGTCACTAAGTTCCCTTATAAAATATTGAAGATGACTAAATTATACACGAGAAATCCCAGGCACTTCTGAGGTCTTTGTACAGCAACCGACAGTGACATGCACTAGCCCATCCCTTACAGTTTTGAGGGAAGCATACAGTGGAACCCTAGAGAAAATAAGTCAAGGAACTACACAAGAATCTGCCCAAAGAGCAGAACACCCATGCTCACAAGAGGTTTCTGAAAAGACAGCTCTACATCTGTCTACAAAACAAAACAAACCACAAAACACACACAACAAAACAACTTGCAAGAATCAAAGCTGAGGAGCTGGAGACAGCTCTGTTTCTGAACCTACAGATCAGGCAAGCAGAGTGCTGGGATGTTTATCTAGACCACATCATGCTAAAGGGAAATGTAAAATGTAAAGGGTCTTAGAGGTGTGAGCCGGCCACTTAAAAACCAGTGATGCATTCAGCAGGAGCTGCAAGCTTGCGTCAGACCTGGATCTTGCAGCCAATAACATTCACACACTGAAATCAGAACACAAAATGTTTCAATACCTACAAATTTTATGAGAAAACACATGCAAATTGTCATTTAAATAAAACTAGCCCAGCAGAGAATTAGCTACCCCAAATCTGTCACTGTTGTGCAGTTGTGGCTGTTGTTCTAGAGAGTCCTTATTGTTCCAGCCCTACTTTACATGTGAGGAGGGTGTGACCATTGGCAGAGTCTATGCCAAGACGGTTTCTAAGAACTTGGAATATGTAAGTCAGCCGATTTAGGTTAGAGTCTAGAACTCTTCCATAAGGCTTCTCTCTATAATTGAAGAATCACCTCTAACACAGTTTTCAACTTGTGTTAAGTTCTTTTTTGTAATTTGCAAGGCATAGAGCATTAAAAAAAGAATGACTGGTATCTAGTTTTCCTATGTATTTTCCCAGATACCAGTGGATCAAGCAGCAGATGGCACAGGATCCTTAGTGGGCAGAGTTAAGAGGTGTCAGCAATAGTGTGGCTTAAATTAAAACAACAAACTCTTAAAAACAAAAAGTCAGAGCCTTGATAGATAAGTAACAGCAGCCACCACAATGACTGACTTCATTTTTCTAGTTCAAATGCAACTCGAGATTGGATAAAACATAGGCAGTATCATTCATTGCCAGAACCACACTTTTTTATTACTGTTTTCTACAGCATGTGGTTCGTAATCCAGTTCCTAGCACAACATTTTTTCACTCATTAAAAATACACTTATTTTTATTTTAAAAGAAAACTACGTATTTTCCCAGATACCAGTCATTCTTTTTTAATGCTCTGTGCCTTGCAAATTACAAAAACAACTCTTGCCAGTGCATGAATTATTATTATTAGGCTGAGTCATATGAGAATCTGGTATTTGACTGTAACTAAACTACATGAATGGCAGTTCACACGGCTCTACCTACCATTCAGAAAAGGTTGAAATATACACATGGCAATTCACATGGCTTTACCTATCATTCAGAAAAGTTTGGTAAGTTTATTTACATCATTACATGATTTGGGTGTGTCCCCCAAGTTCATGTATCAGAGCCCTAGTGAATGAATTAATGGTTCTCTTGGAGTTTAGCTTCCTTCCCCCCTCCCCCACACATAGGTGCTTGCCACATGGGGCCATTACCAGATGGAGCTACCCAGGGCTGGATGGACTAGGTTCTACAACTGCAAGCAAAAACAAACTTCATTTCTTATAAGTTGTCCAGTTTCTGACATTCTGCTATAGGAACAGAAAATGGACTTAGACAGAAACTCTTATTCCAACTGATTACTCAGTCCAGCCCTGCACCTTGAAGAATATACGCAGCTTAAGAACTTCTCCAGCTTTGGAAGGCATTTATGCTCTCCAACACACTAGCGGCTGATATGATATTAACAGTGATTCTCTGATATTCTGAAAGAACAAAATAACATTGTCCCAAGGATACTACACCAGGTATAAGATACAGAAATTCCTTGATACATTACCATCCGGTTCACTTCTTCCTCTGTGACCACCTTTGGGCTCATGGGAGGCAAGACTTTGCTCTGCAGTCCTGTGATCACTTTGGCCAGCCCCCTCTGCACAGCCCCCATAGATTCCTCAAGTCTTTTACTTGTCATTTTCAGGTATCTCCGTTGTTCACCTAAAGATAAGGGGGCAGGGTTAGAGCAGATATCAGTTACTTCCTGCAAGCAGGTCATACAGTTTAACATGTAGGGTGTTTTGACTGGATGTATATCTGTATACTATATATACATGCAGATGCCCATAGAGGCCAAAAGAGGGTGTTGAGTCCCCTGGAACTGGAGTTACAGATGGTTCTATGCCACCATGTAGGTACTGGGAATTGAACCTGAGTCCTGTAGAAAAGCAGCCAATGCTCTTACCCACTGAGTCATCTCTCTAGCTCCATGTTGTACATTAATGTGGCTTTTTCATACATGGGAAAGCTAAGAAAATCATCTTCAAAACTATGTCAAATGTTTGTAACAAAAACATTAAACAAGAAGTTGTAAAAAATTAACTAATTTAAAAAAAAAAAACAAGGAAAACTAAAAACAAGGAGTTGTATTCCGTGTGACTACATGTAGTCTTATCTCAAAGTCTAGAATCCATTTTTAGGCCAACTGCAGGCTTTTCTGCTCAGGAAGACATGAATGAAGACATAAGCCATCCCCTCGGTTTGCCATGTTTAACTTCCAAACACAACAAACAAACACTGCCCGCTAAGGATCCTGTGCCATCTGCTGCTTGATCCACTAAGTTCCAAGATCCCGCTCAGGACAATCAACCCTACAAACAGATTAAACATGGGCTTCTGGTCTTCACAGCTGGGTAGAGACCAAAAAGGAAAAAGAAAATATAAGAAGAGGAGACAAAAGGGAGAAAAAGAAAGTTCTGGGAAAGATTTGAATGTTAGAGCCATGAATATGTCGCTTGTAAATCCATCTGCTATAACAACTCTCCCTGTGTCTTCATGGCTTTGGGGAAGTCAGCTCAGCTCTTGTGATCGGTGTGTCCCAGGGTGTGCTTCTCAAAGAGATACTCTGCACACCAGATCTGGGGGCTCCCAGCTTGTGCAAGTTGGCTATCTGGTCACCCAGTTCTTTGACACATTCCACCTGTTCATTCAGGTAATGGGTCTGGATGAAGTCGCCCAGTGGAGCTCATTTTGCCAGTAGCCAGTTGTGCAGATCCAGCCGTCACTGGACCTTTAAGAGTGACTTATGAACTATGGCAACAGTGTGGGCATCATTTCCTCCCCTCCACCAATTTTTTTTAGTTTGAATACACTTTCACATAGCCTATGTGACATGCTTCTTTTCAAACAAAATAAAACATAAACACAATGGCTTTGCTCTAAACAAATTATGGTAAAAATATATGAAGAGCTCAAAATGACATCGGTCTCATTTGTCTTAAGTCCTGGCATTGTGGGGATGACAGGCAGCGGCCGGTTCTGATGACAGGTGATAGATGCAAGGTAATTGGCCAACTCATTAGCATTTTTCCATCTCTAAGCCACTCTTAGAGAAAAATCACAGATGGGGTCGAACATCATGGTCTTCCAGGAGTCCAGCTGTGCTGTCTGGATTCATATTTTCACCAATAAAAAACTGATAGGTACTGAAATTCTGCAGCCCCTGTCAGAAAAGGTTTTAATCTTTCTGGTCTCTGTCCTTCAAGTTTGCCTTTGAGTGATTTCATGCAATCATTATATATTTCTTACATGGCATTGGTTTCCTTTAAGTGACGGTTCACGACAATCTCAACAAACACTACTCAGTTCTGTGCTTTTGGTACGGTTGCTCTCAGGCCTTTGGTGGAGGCGTTTCCACTATGTCTCCTTCTGTTCCCCAAACATCTCCATGTCCAGGTGCACTCAGCCAGAGGTGTCCTGGATCTCGTAAATGTCAGAGAGCAGCTCTTCAGGGCAGGTGAGGTCCTGGAAGAGCATCACTTCGGCAGGTGGAGGGAGATGGCCGCTCAGGAGCCCAGAGCTCAGAGCATGTGCTGTACAACTACAAGGAGTGATGAGCAACCAGGGAAGCCCTCACAGTTTCTTAAAGAGCAAGCCAAAGATTGCATTAAGTTCGTAAATTATTGAAGCTCCAGAAAAAACATCTGATCGTAGGAAAACTCAGGGAAGACGGCAGGCAAGATCCCTTCTATATTAGTCAGGGTTCTCTAAAGGAACAGCACCAATAGAATGAACACCACACACACACACACACACACACACACACACACACACACACACACACCAAAAAGGGATTTATTAGGCTGGCTTACAGGATGTAGTTTGGGTAGTCCAGCAATGTCCCTCACAACAGGAAGGCCAAGAATTGGATAGCTGTTCAGTCCACAAGGCTGGATGTCTCAGCAGTCCTGATCTGGTGCTGGAGTCCTAGAGAGCCGCTATCTTCAGTCTATGTTAAAAGTGGGTTCTAATACCCAGGAAGTAATGCCACAGCAGCAAAGATGGACTTGCCAATGAGAGTGAGGATGAGCAGTCAAAAGGCAAAGCTTCCTTCTTCCATGTCCTTGGATGAAGACTGCCACCAGAAGGTGTGACCTAGCTTTAGGGTGGGCTTTCCTGATTCAAATAGTCTGATTAAGAAAATCCCTCACTGGCATGCACAGCAGCGTGTGGGTTTAATTTATTCTAGATGACAACCGAGATTAGCCATCACATCTTCCTGAGGAGTCTACTAGAAAATGAAGTTTATCCAGTCAAAGAACTGAAGAATTTCAGCCAAGAGACTGACAACGGATGTTTCTTGTGTACAGCTGTTCAGCTAAAATTGAAATGAAGTTGAGGACATAAGGCAAAGCGTGCAAACATTTTCTGAGAAAGTAAAAGGAATGGACTTTGAGGATGGAAGGGAAAAAGAGAAAGCAAGAAGTAGAATAAGATCATTGAGTACTGCATACATCATAGGCAGGCATCAAACTGACCAGTCAGTATAAAGAACATAAAGGGCACCTCTGAAAACACAACACAGTCTGAGTGGTGGGGTGCTATTCTACAGGCCTATCTTGGTACCCTCTGGCTCTTTCTCTCGCAGATCACTATCTGCCACATTGTTGGGTAGTCCCGAAGCCTACATAGAGAACCATACTGTGAAGTGAACTGTGAACGAGGCCCACAGCAACAGTGTGAATGTGCTTAACAATGGGTCTTCTGAGGCCCACTGGCAGCCATTGAATGAGCTGAAGGTGGCTTCTAGACCGAGCTGCATCCTGACAACTGCATGCCCGGACCTGCATGAGAGGGGCCCAGGCAGGGGCATTCAGGTGTGTCCCATCCAAATTCTTAAGACAGGAACTGTGAGGAAAATAAATACCCACTGTTTGAAACTACTACTTGGACACCCTGTTATGCAGCAGTAGCTAAATAATAGAGGCATTATAAAGGATTTAATATAAAAGAAAGTAGTGGAGCATAAAGACTTGAGGTTTGCTCAGCTCTCTTGGGAAGCTCCATCGTGTAGGTAATAAACATTTCATACCTTCTATTATTGGTCCATGAGTGTCTTTCATTATCCTGAACATCCTTCAAATTTTATTCAGTGATGGGAATTCTGTCTTTGAGAGGTAACTTTACCAGAAGCAATAAAAAAGCAGGGATACTATAGTGAGACCTAACACTGTATACACCCATTGTTTATAAGAATAGGGATTACAATTCTCATTTAAGAGTGGAATATTTTTAAAGGATTAAATAAAACAGAGAGGAAACTTGTACAGTGCTAAAAGCCATACTTCATACTTCAAAAAAAGATATAATAAAGAAAGGAATAGTTATTTGTAAGATAAGGCAAAAACCATCTATCAATAAAAGCAGAAATTACAGGTGTATACAGAGATGCACAAGCACAAATTATCAATTTTTAATATCGACTTGTAGGAAAAGGCATGTTAGCTGGACAAAAAATAAGTAAAATTATATCAGATTTGAACAATAGAATTTGTTAGTTTCAGGGATGCATATGAAATGATACATCTTAATGTTATAAAATATACTCCTTCAAGAGCAAAGGAAACAGTTGTGAAAAATTGATCATATATTAGGGGATAAAATGGCAGTAGGTTTCCACAATCTATAGATGTTATGAATAATAAATACTCTGATAACAATATGATAAAACTGGAAATTAAACACATATCCCAGAAAATTGTAAACCCTTCTGAGTTGGACATGGAGGTTCTGAGCTGTGGTCCAGTTCCTAAGGAGCTGAGGTAAGGGGCATAACATGAGTCTGGAAAAAGTCTGGATCACACAGTAAACTCCAGGCCAGGCTGGGCTACAGAGTGAGACCCTATCACAACAAAGAAAACAACAACAACAACACAAATAAAACTCTCTTCTTAATGAACAACAAGAATTAAAAATCTATGAAAGAGTCGGGCGGTGGTGGCACACGCCTTTAATCCCAGCATTTGGGAGGCAGAGCCAGGTGAATCTCTCTGAGTTTGAGGCTAGCGTGGTCTATAGAGAGAGTTCCAGGACAGGCACCAAAGCTACACAGAGAAACCCTGCCTTGGGGGGAAAAAGAAGAAGAAAAAAATCTAGGAAGAAAGTAACATATCCTGCTTATACAATTATAGTAACAAAGTTAATATGGTGTTATGAAATATACCACAAAATTGCATGTTATGTCTCCAAAAGTCTAAATTTATTATATATTCTTCCTAATATGACCAACAAAATGTATCCACATATACTTTGGGTTTTATGTATATGCATGTATGTGTCCAGCACCACTATTCTAGGAACCTATCCAAAGGATATGTTGGTTGATACACAACAATGAGCCTGGCAACCTATAGAGAGATGTGCGGATTACGGTAAAACAGACAGATGCACCCCCATTGTGGACTTCTGAGCTGTGCAAATGTTTTACATATCAGAGAACCAAGAGGGGAGAAAAATCAATTCTTAAAAATTGAAAAGAAACCAAACAAATGAACCTTTTTGTACACCAAGCTGCTTTACAAACTCAAGAGAAAACAGTGACTCCAGAACTGCCTCTGGACTGGTCTATCCTTCTTGGGATTTACTGGGAAAACATAGAAGGCAGAACAGAAATCTTACTGTCCACTCAATGGCTGTGTATTGTCATACTATTAGTATGACAT